GATGCGAATCTTCACATTGCAGATTTCTCACTACTACAAAATCAGCCAAAGAGACCCGTCCAAATTAGCCAAACACTATTACAAAATCAGCCAAATAGACCCGTCTAAATTTTCCAAAGAGACTGCTTTAGAGGCGGTCTCTAACTAAGCGGTCTCTTTGGAAAAGAGACTGCTTGACTAGAGGCGGTCTCTAGAATGCGAAAACTAAGACCGCCTATTGAAGATAGGCAATCTCTTTTTTGTGAAAAACTGAGACCCCTTGTGGAAGATAAGCAGTCTTTTTTTTAAGAAATTTGAGACCGGTTATGATAGGCTTATCGCGTACCTAACAAAAATAACCTAACTATTCCTTCTAACTGTGTAGTAGGGCAAGTAAGGATCGAATCCCAAGAGACTATGGTTCATTCAATTAATCAGACTCAATTAATCACTAAGCACGTCACCAATCAATAATGGATGATAATAATCAACTAATATATTAAATAACACAATTAACTAGAGGAAATATTAATCAATAAACTAAAGCATCCAAGATCAAGCATTACCACGATTATGATTGATAAACTAATAAATCTACCCCCAATATATAAATCAATTGACAAGAAGAAAAGCAATCCCTAATAATAATACCAAAGGTCTCTTCCAAGTTATCAATGGCTTCCCAAATTAACTATCAAGCCTACTTCCGTGGAATCAAGCGAATAAGGGACATTAAACACCATGCCTAGATTCCTAATTATTCAATCATCTACTTCCGTGATGATCTTCAAACCCTTAATTGGAATAACCTAATCCCGTTAATACCCAACTTCCGTTGCAATAAGAACAAAGGGATGATAACAATACTAATTATTCCTAATCTAGTATTGGCATAAACACAATCAATTAAGCATGTCAATTGGGATTATTATTGGGGAATTTAAAGATCTACTTTATACATCAATCATAATCGGGCTTAGCAAGATCCCGGATTAAGAAACTACTCACACATCATAATAAAATCAAAATCAAGTTCAAAAACAAGAAACAGTAAAGAAAACATATTTAGAGAACAGTGAATATCAGAAAAGAGTGAAGTAAGATAAATACCAATTACTCCAATTGAAAGAACTCAAATTGTTGATGAACAATTGATTAATCTGGGATTAAAAGATTGAAATTGCTTAAAGGAAATAAAACTAGGGTTCTTGAGAGTTTTCTAGGGCTTAAGGAGAAAAACTAATGAAAAACTCACTTTAAAAGTTAATTACAAAAGGGTATTTATACCCTCAAAAGATAGAAATTCGGAAATAGCTGAAATCGCGCAATCTTGAACATCGCCCGGTCAGACCGGGCAAACCTCGCCCGATCGGGCGGAGGAAAGCTGCGTAAAATACGACAGTTTTCCTTCTTTGCCCGGTCAGACCGGGCGAGCCTCGCCCGGTCGGGCGCGCGTAACACGTTTCCAGAATTGCATCTTCATAACTTGACTTCTTCATCGCCCGGTCTGACCGGGCGAAGCCTGCCCGATCGGGCGCGCGTTGCACCGTTCAGAATTGGGCTTCTTCCTGTGAACTCTTCATTGCCCGGTCTGCCCGGGCAAGCCATGCCCGGTCGGGCACTCCACATAAATTGCAGTTCTTGGCTATCAACTCTTCCGAATCTACTAAAAACACGTCCAATTGCCTAGAAACGCTTCATATTCCTGAAAAGCTTACTAAAACAATCGAATACACTAAAGAAGAGATTGTTAGCAAGAAATGGCTCCGTAGAGCTCAAAACCATATAAAATTACTAAGTAAAACCGGGGAAAACCATTGTATAAAACACGTATATCAAATTCCCCCAAGCTAAACCTTTGCTTGTCCCTAAGCAAAGCAATGAATAAATAAATCAATACTTCACCCCAAAAGCAATTCAAATCAATAAATACGATTAAAGGTAAACTCGACAGTTATGCATCAAAGTCAACCAATCAAATCCATCTGACTACTCATCCTGTCTGACAATAGTCAAATAGAGCAAACCACAAGAGCATATAGAATTCAAGACTAGTGTTCACACACTCAACTCTCATTTATGTGGCGAGTAAAAGATATACTCGATCGCTCTCCATCCAACTCCTTTAAATGTGAACAATGCCCTCCCAAACTCACGCACTCGTGTGTTTAAAGAAAACAAGCACTCAACCTAGCAGTCGACTCGAAATATATCAAATCATTCTTTGCATTGGAAAACAACTAATTTCACATTCACACAACTCTATGCACAAAGGTCAGAAGGTCTTCAAAGCTTGTAATGTAAGGCTAGGATAAAAGGTAGGAAATATTTGGGAAAATGTAAGAGTAAAGCTATGCTTAAGGGAGCCAAAATCCTAATAAATAAAACCAAGATCAAAATGAATTAATGACCAAATCATCTCCAACACAACTCAACTCTACCAAAAATTCACCAAACATCCAATTATATTAAAAATTTCCAACACTTAAAATTTCACTCATATATACAAAATATAAAATTATAGAACTTGAGTGAACAAACAAACTTTGAACTCTCCTTTTTTTTCTTGAGCAGCCTTCAATTAGAACACTTGAACATTGAAACAATTTTTTTCTTTTGCTCTTTCTTTTCCCTTTTTTTCATCTCACATTGGAATTTTTTCTTTGCACAATAAATTTTCAATTTTTCCAATCCACAACAATAAGAACAAATAAAAACTTCTCAAATCCACCCAAAATTGTGCAGATTACATGCACACTACAACTCCCTCACCTCACTCACTATTAGCTCCCCCAAGCCAAGCTTGGGACTAGTAACCAATGGGGCTTAAATAGGCTTGTAATGTGGCAAAATAAACAATAAAAGGGCACAAGCAACAACATGGGTAGCAAGAAGGGAACAAATGTATCTAATATCGTCTGAAAGCCACCTAGAGGAACAAATGCCTTCGTCCTCCTCAATGTGCATATTAATGAGTCATGCAAACATTGCTCAAAGTTATAAACCAATACTCAACTTCATTGACATACCAGGAACTAACACACATTCCTAACCAAATCAACTAGTCAAGCACTATATTCACAAGTAGTTGGGCAAAATTGACTCATGTTAAGACATCCAAGTAATCAAACATCAAATCATGGCTAACCTATCCACAATACTCGTCATCATATACCAAGAATTAAAACAATTTTCATGAATGGGGCACAGGGAAGCATGATTTATTATTCATTGGATCGTATTTTTTGTATGTTTTTTTTTTTTTTTTTTTAAAAAAACAACTAAAATAACTACACTAAAATAAAACAAGAAATTTTTTAAAAAACAACTAAAATAACTACACTAAAATAAAACAAGAAAGATAAGAGAGATAAGGAGAGAGAGAGTACCACATGTACGAAGCAACTCCCCCAAGCTAAATGCGGCAATGGCCTCATTGCAGCGTAAGGAGAGCATAGGAATCTCGACGGCTCCTCAAAAAGAATCGGGTTGCCTCCCGCAAGCGCTTGTTTAGAAGGTCATTAGCTTGACCGTATTCATCCTCATTGAGTTTGTGGTGAGGAAGAGAATGTGATATCTGACTTTTCTTCAATAGGATCTCCCGCTCGATAGTGCTTCACCCTTTGTCCATTGACTTTGAAGGTGCCCCCGGTGTTGTTCCATAATTCAATGGTGCCATAAGGATATGCTTTGTAGACCGTGAAAGGGCCCGACCATCTTGACCTGAGTTTCCCTGGAAATAGTTTCAACCTTGAATTGAATAGAAGGACTTGCTCTCCTTCTTTCACAGAATTTGGAGGGGGAAGTTTCTCTATTACCTCTACTTTGGCTTTGTCCACCTCAATCCCTTTGTTTGAAACTACATGGCCTAAAACGATTCCCTGTTGTACCATAAAATGGCACTTCTCCCAGTTCAATATCAGATTGACATCCTGGCATCTATGGAGCACCTTTGTTAGATTATCAAGGCAAATATCGAAAGATGAACCATAAACAGAAAAATCATCCATAAAAACTTCCATAGAATTTTCTATGAGACCTGAGAAAATAGCCATCATACACCGTTGGAACGTGGCTGGGGCATTACACAGTCCGAATGGCATTCTGCGATATGCGAAGGTGCCATATGGACATGTGAATGTAGTCTTTTCCTGATCACAAGGGCGGATGGGGATTTGAAAAAAACCGGAATATCCATCCAAGTAACAGAAAAAGGAATGGTTAGCCAATCGTTCGAGCATTTGATCAATGAAAGGCAAGGGGAAATGATCTTTACGGGTGGCTTTATTTAATTTTCTGTAATCAATGCACATCCGCCACCCTGTAACAGTTCTTGTGGCAACAGGCTCGCCTTTGTCATTCTTGACAACTGTCATACCTCCTTTCTTTGGTACTACTTGTACAGGACTAACCCACTTACTATCTGAGATAGGGTAGATTATTCCTGCAGCAAGCAATTTGAGAACCTCTTTCTTGACTACCTCCATCATAGTTGGATTTAGCCTTCTTTGAGGTTCTCTAGAGGAGGCATGATCGTCCTCAAGAATGATCTTATGCATACAAAAAGAGGGATTAATACCCTTGATATCATCAATGGTATACCCAATAACATTTCTATATTTTCTTAAAACAGCGAGAAGTTTCTCTAATTCAATGTTATTAAGCTCAGCATTAACAATAACAGGGTATGTATTTTTAGGACCAAGATATGCATATTTAAGATTAGATGGAAGGGGTTTCAACTCTACCTCGGGAGGCGTCGAACTCTCCCCAACACTCGATGTACTAAGGACTTCCTTGACTGGAGCGATGATTGGATTAGCTTTTGCGTCTTCTAGTAGCCTCGTGTACTCCCTTACTTCCCAATCTTCATCATGGATACTCCCTATCAACACCGTTTCAAGAGCATCTTCCTTTTTGATCAGGGGAAGTTGTTCTTGTTGTAGATCATCGAGGACATCCACTTGACAAATAGTCTCACCCATAGACGGATTTCCCATAGCATTCAGTAATGAATACTCCATTTTCTCATCCCCTACTTCAAATGTTATTTTCCCATTCTTCATGTCAATAATTGCACCTGCAGTAGCTAAGAATGGTCTACCAAGAATAATAGGGACATGGGCATCTTCTTCCATTTCCATAACAACAAAATCACATGGAATAAAGAATTTACCAACTCGCAATGGAACATCTTCAAGTATACCGAGGGGAAATTTAACTGACCTGTCTGCAAGTTGCAGAGATATCCTTGTAGGCTTTAGCTCACCCATTTGAAGCTTTTCGCAGATGGAGAGCGGCATAAGGCTTACACTTGCACCAAGATCGCATAGCGCTCTATTGATCTCTATATCTCCGAGCTTCACTGGGATTGAATAGCTGCCTGGATCACCTAGTTTCTTAGGAAGAGTGTTTTGCAGAATGGCACTACATTCTGCAGTTAGAGAAACAGTAGCATTCTCTGCAAGCTTCTTCTTGTTAGATAGCATGTCTTTCAAAAACTTTGCATAAGAAGGCATTTCAGAAATTGCATCCAAGAACGGTATATTAATGTGAAGTTTCTTAAGGATGTCTAGAAATTTACCGTACTTTTTCTCTAACTTAGCCTGGGCTAACCTCTGTGGGAAAGGGACTCTTGGCATGTATGGGGCGAGAGGTGGGATCGGTTCCCGTGGCTTTTCTTGAACATCATTCCTTGGAATTAGGCTGTCTGGATCTCCCGCCCGGTCGGGCAGTGATTGCCCGGTCTGACCGGGCGAAGAAGAGCTGCTTATGTTCTTCTGTTTGTCTGGAATTTCTTCTTGCGCCCGATCGGGCGGACCTTGCCCGGTCTGACCGGGCGAAGAAGAAATTCGCACAGTCCCCTGTTTTTCGTCGACTGCTTCTCGCGCCCGATCGGGCGGACATTGCCCGGTCTGACCGGGCGAAGAAGAATTTTGCAAAATCCCCTGTTTTTCACTCATTCCCTCAATATCTATCGTTGATGGTTCCCTTACGGGAAGGTCTTCCAACTGTTTTCCACTCCTTAAAATTACAGCATTCATGTGCCCCTTTTGTGGTTGCTCTGTTTGGCCAGGAAACGTACCTGGTGTTTTTGAAGATTGGCCGACTTGATGAGCAAGTTGGCTTATTTGATTTTCCATGAGCTTATTCTGGGCTTGTAACTGTTGGATGGAATTATTTGTGGTGTTGATGAAGTTCTCCATCATTAGTTCGAGATTGGATTTTTGAGGGAGTGGTTGCATAGGTTGCATGGGTTGTTGTACTAGGGGTGGTCTTGGTTGAAAACCAGGTGGATTATAATTGTTGTTTCGAGGTGGGGGCGGAGGTGGATTTTGCTGAGCCTGGGTGTTTTTGTATGAGAAATTTGGGTGATTCTTCCAACCTTCATTATAAGTATTAGAATGGGGATCGTATGGTCTTTTAGGGTTGGAATTGTAGAAGGCATTGGCTTCCTCAATTGATACCTCATTCGAATTTCGTGGGCAATTAGGTGCGATGTGACCTTGAGTATTACACATTTGACAAGTTTCTAGCACATTATTAGAAGATCCAGTTTGTAATCTATCGAACTTGCTTGAAAGTGCCTGCACAGAACTAGTTAAAAGAGTTAGAGCATCAACATCTAATTTACCTCCTTTCTTGACACTATTTCGGCCGCCTGGGTGATAGTTGTCATTGGCTGACATCTTCTCAACCAGCTCCTTTGCTTCGGTTGGATTTTTAGTTAAAAGGGAGCCTCCAGATGCGGCGTCGATATAGATCCGGAATTCATGGGTTAGACCGTTATAAAAGGTTTGGATTAACATCCATTCAGGTATGCCATGATGAGGGCACTGTCTCTGTAATCTCTTGAATCTCCTCCATGCGTCATATAAGGATTCTTCATCTGATTGCCTGAAAGTGGATAGCTCGTTCCTTAATCTTGCAGTCTTTTCTTGTCCCAAGAACTTGACCAGAAAAGCTTTTACTAGTTTATCCCATGTATCAAAGGAACCAGAACCCTCATCTCTTAACCATTCCTTCGCCCTATCCCGTAATGAGAATGGAAAAAGGCGAAGTCTAAGAGCATCATCTGTAACACCATTCAGCTTCATAGTGTCACACTTTTCCAAGAAACCATCTATATGATTCACTGGGCAATCAAGAGGTGTGCCAGCAAATGAATCATTGGATATGAATTGAATAAACTGCGGTTTCAATTCAAAATTCTGAGCGGTGATAGGTGGTCTAACAATGCTAGAAAGGAGTCCGGTTGTTGTGTCAGGGATACCGTACTCCAAAAGAGACTTTGTTGCTTGGTCTTCCATATTTCTGTTACCTGCTCTTCTTCTACTTCTTCGTCTTCTTGCAGTCGCTTCAATTTCTGAATCGAGAGGCACTAAGTCGTCTGACCCTGAGCGACGTGTTTGCATACAACAAAGAACTAGGCAAAGAACATCAAAAACACAGGAGGCAATAGCCGAAGCAACAAACAACGCTTAGTAAAAACGAATCACGGAAAATCAATATGAAACCGTTAGTCCCCGGCAACGGCGCCAAAATTTGATAGGCTTATCGCGTACCTAACAAAAATAACCTAACTATTCCTTCTAACTGTGTAGTAGGGCAAGTAAGGATCGAATCCCAAGAGACTATGGTTCATTCAATTAATCAGACTCAATTAATCACTAAGCACGTCACCAATCAATAATGGATGATAATAATCAACTAATATATTAAATAACACAATTAACTAGAGGAAATATTAATCAATAAACTAAAGCATCCAAGATCAAGCATTACCACGATTATGATTGATAAACTAATAAATCTACCCCCAATATATAAATCAATTGACAAGAAGAAAAGCAATCCCTAATAATAATACCAAAGGTCTCTTCCAAGTTATCAATGGCTTCCCAAATTAACTATCAAGCCTACTTCCGTGGAATCAAGCGAATAAGGGACATTAAACACCATGCCTAGATTCCTAATTATTCAATCATCTACTTCCGTGATGATCTTCAAACCCTTAATTGGAATAACCTAATCCCGTTAATACCCAACTTCCGTTGCAATAAGAACAAAGGGATGATAACAATACTAATTATTCCTAATCTAGTATTGGCATAAACACAATCAATTAAGCATGTCAATTGGGATTATTATTGGGGAATTTAAAGATCTACTTTATACATCAATCATAATCGGGCTTAGCAAGATCCCGGATTAAGGAAACTACTCACACATCATAATAAAATCAAAATCAAGTTCAAAAACAAGAAACAGTAAAGAAAACATATTTAGAGAACAGTGAATATCAGAAAAGAGTGAAGTAAGATAAATACCAATTACTCCAATTGAAAGAACTCAAATTGTTGATGAACAATTGATTAATCTGGGATTAAAAGATTGAAATTGCTTAAAGGAAATAAAACTAGGGTTCTTGAGAGTTTTCTAGGGCTTAAGGAGAAAAACTAATGAAAAACTCACTTTAAAAGTTAATTACAAAAGGGTATTTATACCCTCAAAAGATAGAAATTCGGAAATAGCTGAAATCGCGCAATCTTGAACATCGCCCGGTCAGACCGGGCAAACCTCGCCCGATCGGGCGGAGGAAAGCTGCGTAAAATACGACAGTTTTCCTTCTTTGCCCGGTCAGACCGGGCGAGCCTCGCCCGGTCGGGCGCGCGTAACACGTTTCCAGAATTGCATCTTCATAACTTGACTTCTTCATCGCCCGGTCTGACCGGGCGAAGCCTGCCCGATCGGGCGCGCGTTGCACCGTTCAGAATTGGGCTTCTTCCTGTGAACTCTTCATTGCCCGGTCTGCCCGGGCAAGCCATGCCCGGTCGGGCACTCCACATAAATTGCAGTTCTTGGCTATCAACTCTTCCGAATCTACTAAAAACACGTCCAATTGCCTAGAAACGCTTCATATTCCTGAAAAGCTTACTAAAACAATCGAATACACTAAAGAAGAGATTGTTAGCAAGAAATGGCTCCGTAGAGCTCAAAACCATATAAAATTACTAAGTAAAACCGGGGAAAACCATTGTATAAAACACGTATATCAGGTTATTAAACTTAACAGGTCTCTCGGATATCATTTAAAATAAAAACAATATTGCTTATTTGATACGAATTTTAAAATTATAAATTTATAATCACAATTCTTCAATATAACTCATTTAAATTTTTTATATTATTAAATATAGAGTACAAATTAATTCTTGAATGTCATATACCTCAAAGATTACAAACATGATACAAATATACAGTAATTGAAAATCCAATACACAAAAATAAAATAAAAAAACAAAACGTTGTAAATGATAACTTCTAGTTCCAAAGATCTTCTAGATGATAACTTGTAGAAATCTTTTACCTGTAACCACAAATATATACAAAGTAAAACCAGACAAAAATTAGTATCTAATAAAATAAATCAGAAAAATTAAACCAACATAATTAAAAAAATAATAATAATTGTTTTCAAAAAAAAAAATCAAAACAAAGATCAATACGAAAACTTAACCAAAAAAGTAAAAAAAAAACATATGAAACAAAACAAAGATCTAAAAATTGAAAAGAAAAATTCATAACTGATGAAATACAGGATGTAAACTAAAAATTTGGTTAAATGGCGATTAAACACACAAAAAGAAAAAATAAAAATAAAATTTCATAAAATAATTTTAACCAATTTAAAAAACGAGCTAAAGAGTGAATTGACAGGATAAACTAAAAAGATAAATTTTAAAGACGAAAAAAATTTCTAGAACTAAAAAATGATATTGAAAATAAAAATAAAATAAATTCATCAACATATGAGATCTGGCTAACATAAAAGAAGAACAAAACGAACAATAATATATATAAAAAAATAAACGAAAAATGAACTAAACTAGATCTAACACTACAGAAGATCTAAGGGGGAAAAATGTTTTAAAAAATGTAAAAGAAAAAGGGAATAAAGCTAATACATCCTTTGAAAAACCCCCAAATTGAAACTGAAAAACACATCATGTTCAAATCTCATAAATTTTTATTTGTAAAAAAAAGTTTAAAAACAAAAACATTAACAAGAAAACTAAATGAAAAATCAATTATCATAACTAATGAAGAATTGTATAATTTTTTTTTTACAAAAACAAATATTATAATCAATTATAAGATAGTCAGATTTTCATTAAAGACAACGAAAAAATGAAGATCTATCAACAGTTAAAAACGGGGAAAAAAAAATTGCAAACTCACCTTGACAGTAGATCCTGAAATTTTGACATACCGGAGTTCTTGAAATTGAAAAAAAACATTAAGGAATTAAAATTGGGGTGAAAATGATTGTAATTGTGCTCTAATTTGTTAGATGATTGTAATTAAATAAGAAAGAAGGGAGGAAAGAAAGGGCGAGGAGGAAGAAGGGAGGAGAGAGAGAAAGAAGGAGAAGGGAGGAGAGAGAGATGGAGGCGGAAATGAAGAGGGGTAAAGCAGTAGGGTTTCATTTATTTTCTAATTTGTAAATAAGGGAGACCTGTTAAGTGGTATAACTGGTCTCTCCCTATAAATTATTTTAAATATTTTTCTCTTTTTTTTTATAAAGAGAGACCAGTTTTCTTAAAAAATGAGTCTCTAACTATTTTTATCGAAAAATAATTAATTTAAAAAAAACGCAAGAGACAGGTTTTCTTAGATAATTGGACTTTCAAATATTTTTACCCTCAAATAAATGAAGTTTGAGACCCGTTGTTAATAATAAGCGGTCTCTTGGATCAAAGAGACCCGTTATGTAGATAACAGGTCTTTTATATTAGATCTCTTTGGCCAATTTTGTAGTAGTGTCTATGTAGACACCAAATGTGTCTCCCCAAAACCAAACCCAGTGGTGAATACCTTTCACGTTATTTGATTATCGAACAAAGAGAAAGTGTGAAAAGTCTAGTGATGAGGATGCTTTTATTAAAATATCTCTTCTTTTTGTTTTTGAAAATATTTCTTTTGTTACCCTATTTTTGAAAAACGTGCATTCTAATTTAGTTTGGTCCATGATATGGGTCCAATAAATGTGTAGTTGGATGAGATTTGAAAAGACCTTTCCAACGATATATTATAAGCCCAATTCCGATGAATAATGAAGAAGTTATGGCCAAAATAATAAACTGGGCCCAAACCGGATTTTACCTACGACCCAATGATCATGTGGAGGGTCCAAAGGTTTAATCCTATTCCTAAACTAATTAGGATTAATTAGAAGCTTCTATTAGTTTCTAAAAGATCTTAATTATCCTTTTTTGAAAAGATAAGATTAAAGAATTTGAGTTAAATAAAAACTTTCCTTTTTTAAAACTTTTCTTTTCTTAAATCCTAATTCTATTCGAATTTAAAGATGTTCAAATACAGTCAGATTTTATTTTCGTGCCTCATAATCTTTATGCAAATTATATGGTAGGATAGATCTTGAAATTATCTTTCCAATGATATATTATAATATTAAATCCGAGTTATAATGAAAAAGATATGAATGAGATATGAACTCTATCCAAAACTGACACCGTTCCACTATTTCGGCCATACCTTTTTATCTACAAAAGATTTTAATCTGATTCCAATTGGGTTGGAAATTATCTTTAAGAGATTTCCATTAACATATTATATGCCTTATTTAGACTTCTGTATCAAAAGATATGATAAAAACAAAATCCAAAAAAAACTGCTGTCCATCGAGTTTTATTTCGATTCGAATTCAGATTATTTTCTTTATTTTTCGACTCTCTTTTTTCTTATAAATAGAGGTCATATCTCCCCTTTTTCAATCACCAACTCTCATCAATAATTCTTGATTCTCTCTCTCTTTCTAAGCCTAGCCTTTTACAAACATAATTCCTCATACATTAGCACTAGAAAGCCAAGTTCGAAGTTGCCTTCGCTTTAGATGTGAAAGGTTTTAATTTCTGAAGGTTTGGTCCCAAATATTTCTTTCAATTATTAAATTTAATTATTTGTTTATTATTATTTTCCTTGAAGTTACTAACGCGTGTATTTTTTTATTAGAAAGAGGTCCGAGGCATCCAAGTAAGTACTGTAATTGTCTACATTGATATTATGATATAGAAATCATGCTTAGATTGTTATTTTGATTCCTAGTATCATGTTAGGATGTTTTCCTTAATTTGATGTTTAGGGTGACAACAATAAATTCCTAGTATCATGTCTAGGGTAACTTTAATACCAAGTATGATTAAACGTATGTTGCCTTTTATGTTTTTCCTAATATTTATGATTGTTAGTATCATGTTAGGGCTATAGCTTTGATTTTTATTGTTTAGTGATATGCTAGGGTTTGTTATTAATCTTGTTAGTATCATGCCTAGGATCTTGCTATTATTATGCTTTAACATTATTATAATTATTTTTATGATTTATGATTATAATTGTTATGATGATGATTTATGATTATTTTAATTTTGATTATTATGTTGCTATATATATATATATTTATTTTTATTGCTTGATCACACCTTTTATGCATGCTTAAAGGGAATTGGTACTTGTAATCACGCTTAATAAGATAATTAATAATCTTGTTTAGGGTTAATTTGATTATAATTCAAGTGATCGCCAATAATATTTTATTTGTGCATTAATATTCAACCAACATAGATTAAACAGGTTTAGGGTTAATCCTATTGTTTGCATGTTAGTCAGAAAGCGCACATGAGTACGATCAGAATAAAGTAGAGGCCTATTATTAGGGCAGGTTCAATCTCTTTTAGGTTGGATTTGTACCTTCATCCCTGAACCTACCAGTCATGTTTCCAGACCTATTGGAGTTGACGATCTCATGGATCGTTAAGGGGTGTAACCTTCACCTCGTGAACGGTTTACAAGTTCCTAAAACTTGTTGGCGACTCTTTTGCTCCATCTTCTTTCCCTTTGGACGCCACCGTACTTTAGTGTATGATCACAGTGGGGTTCAAGTTTTGGATAATGCTTGAAATATTCCCTACAGTGTGTCACTATTGTATCACCATTAGACAAGCCGGGTTCACGCAGACCAAATCAGAGAGATTCTTTTTCCCTTTTCATTATGTGGCAAAGCTAAATTATGGTTTAATGGTTTGAATAGATATGCACTTGTTATTACTGACTGGGAAACTCTTGCCTTGAATTTTTATAATAAATATTACCCTACAGAGAGAACAGCTGTACTACGGAGTGCTATTCAGAACTTCACTCAAGAGGCCGATGAAACTCTACATGAGGCTTGGGAGAGGTTCAAGGATCTATAGAGAGAATGCCCCCACCACAATCTAGCACAATGGCAATTGATCCAAGCTTTCTACAATGGACTTGAAAATTCATCTAGATCAGTTCTAGATTATGCAGCTAGTGGGAGATTCATGAATTTAAATGTGGACGATGCCGGACAGGTTATCGAAGATATTGCAATACACAATTCCCAATATGGGAATCCGAGAGGGTTTGCAAATAAAGGAAAACATAATGTCAATTCGGTATCCTTTTTGCAAGCTCAATTAACGTCTATTTGTCAAAAATTAGATAATCTTACTGCTACTCCTAACTCTGTAGCTAATGTTTCTGCTGTTGCTAACAATGAAGCTTTTTGTGAAAATTGTGGAATTGTAGGGCATTGGGAGCAAGATTGTAGTAGTTCCATGGAACAAGTTAATGCCTTCCAAACCTATAGGCAAAATAACCCATATTCCAACTCTTTTAATCCTGGCTACCGGACCCATCCATATCTTTCGTGCCGGAGCACTAATGTACAAAACCCTCCACCTCCACAACAACCACAACAGCAACCTCCACCACAGCAGAAATATTACCATCCAAATTCTGGCCAAAAAAGCCAAGCAAAACCCACATCATCTTCTGACCCTGCCATGACAGAAATTAGAGCAATCCTTACTAACATGCAAAAGCATATAGAGAGTAGGGATGCGCAAATTGATTCTATTTTAGCCCACAATAAAATCATGGATAACAAATTGCACAACTTTCATCTACCCTACAAACGTGTCAGCAGGGAGCTCTACCATCACAACCTATCCATCCCACAGATTTTGCCAATGCAATCACTCTAAGAAGTGGTTCACATTATGATGGACCTCCTATGCCAAAGGAAGATGGATCAGTTCCTGATCCAGATTCCTCTATACCAAACGCTAAACCTGCTAACCGCGCAGGGATACAAACAGATACTAACCCTTCTAATGTTTCATTGCAGGGTAAATCTCAGGAAAAAGGGAGGAGACGTGTAGAGCCCGGTTATCAAACTACTATTCCCAAATAGACAATTGAAGAGTAAGTTTGATAAACAATTTGGTAAGTTCTTAGAGTTTTTGAAAAACCTGCAGGTAACAGTTCCTTTCACTAATTTAATCACTCAGGTTCCTGCATATGCTAAATTTATGAAAGACATTCTGACTAGGAAAAGGGCCTTTAATGAGGTAGATATTGTAGCATTTACAGAGGAATGTAGTGCCTTATTGCAAAATAAATCCCCTCATAAATTAAAGGACCCTGGTAGTTTTTCTATCCCTTATCATATAGGGAATGTTTTTATTGATAAAGCTTTGTGTGATTTGGGTGCCAGTGTTAGTGTTATGCCATCGTTAGTCTGTGCTAAACTTAATATGGGTGCTTTAAAAGTTACTAATATAACTTTGCAAATGACAGATCGTTCTGTAAAATACCCTCTAGGTATTTTAGAGGATGTCCCTGTTAGAGTTGGTAAATTTTTTATCCCTGTTGATTTTGTAGTTTTAGACATGGCCGAGGACACGCAAATACCCATCATATTAGGTAGGCCTTTCCTCCATATTGCAGGAGCCATTATTGATGTAAAAAATGGTAAACTAACCCTTTCTGTTGGTGATGATAATATTACTTTTAATTTAGGGAAAGTTTTGAAAGGACCTATGCTAGAGGAAAATTGTTGTTTTATTGATATAATTGATATAATGGACGATATTTGTGATGATAGCTTGCCACAGGTTCTTGCAAGGGATCCCCTAGAGGAAATTCTTTGTGGGAATTTATCTGCAGATAATGCAAGCGTCTGGGGTAATGAAGTACAAGATATTGAAAGATCTCTTTCCCTAAAAGAGTTAGACCCCAAGGAGACAATGAAGGTAATATATTTAGTTCTGGAATCGAAACCTGCAGAGGTCAAGAAACCTGAAATAAAACCTCTCCCTTCTCATTTGAAATACATTTTTCTAAATGAACAGGAACTATACCTCATGATCATCAGTACTGAACTTAATGACCTACAAACTTCCCAACTTCTAGGGGTTCTTCAAACCCATAATAAAGCAATGGGTACAGTATTGATGATTGCAAGGGTATTAGCCCTGATTTTTGTATGCACACGATACATTTAGAGGATAACTATAAGCCCTGCATTCAACCCCAAAGAAGATTGAATCCTAACATGCAGGAAGTAGTCAAGAAAGAGGTTATGAAATTACTTGATACAGGTATTATCTATCCTATTTCTGACTCCAAGTGGGTAATTCCTGTACAGGTAGTGCAAAAAAAAGGTGGGATGACTGTGATCACTAATGAGAAAAATGAATTAATTCCCCAATAGAACTGTAACATGGTGGCGTATGTGAATTGACTATCGTAGATTAAATATCGCCACTAAAAAAGGACCACTCCCCCCCTTTATATATCAAATGCTTGAGAGGTTAGCTAACCATAAGTTCTTTTGCTATTTGGATGGGTATTCGGGATTTTTCCAAATTCCGATTCACCTTGAAAATCAGGAAAAGACAACCTTTACATGCCCTTATGGTACTTTTGCATATTGTAGGATGCCCTTTGGTTTATGTCATGCCCCCGCTACCTTTCAACGTTATATGATGAGCATCTTTTCCGATTTCATAGAGTCTATTATGGAAGTCTTTATGGATGATTTTAGCGTGTATGGTTCTTCATTTGATTCATGTCTAATAAATCTCGCTAAAATTTTAAAACGATGTGAAGAATGCAATTTGGTATTAAACTGGGAGAAATGTCACTTTATGGTGACAGAGGGAGTAGTTCTAGGTCACATTGTATCTGACAAGGGCATACAAGTAGATAAAGCTAAGATTTCAGTGATTGAGCAATTACCTCCCCCAGTTAATGTTAAGGGAGTTAGAAGTTTCTTGGGTCATGCGGGGTTTTATCATCGCTTTATCAAAGATTTTTCTAAAATTGCTAAACCACTGACTCAGCTTTTACTCAAGGATGCCCCTTTTATTTTTACTGACGAGTGTCTTGAGGATTTTAACAGGATTAAGCAGGCTTTGATATCAGCCCCCATCATATGTGCTCCTAATTTGAATCTCCCTTTCGAGATCATGTGCGATGCAAGTGACTTTTTCCTAGGAGCCGTGCTTGGACAAAGAAAGGACAAAGTTTTGCATGCTATTTATTATGCAAGCAAAACTTTGGATGAAGCCCAAGTCAACTATGCCACAACGGAGAAGGATTTTCTTGCTGTCATATATGCTTTAGAAAAATTTAGATCATATCTTGTTGGTTCTAAAGTCATTGTTTTTACTGACCATGAAGCGTTGAAGTACTTGATAGCTAAGGCGGAATCAAAGCCAAGGCTACTCCGTTGGGTTCTTTTACTCTAAGATTTCAATATCGAGATAAAAGACAAAAAGGGAGCAGAGAACGTAGTGGCAGACCACTTGTCACATATCAGGTATGATGAGGGTAAGGATTCTCTTCCTATAGATGATTCTTTCCCTGATGACAACCTATATGTAGTTGTAGAGCAACACTCATGGTATGCTGACTTTGCTAATTATCTAGTGGGTGGTACTCTACCTCCTGACTTGTCCTACCAACAGAAAAAGAAAATCCTTTCTGATGTTAAACATTATTTTTGGGATGATCCTTTTTTGTTTCGTGAGTGTGCAGATGGATTATTTTGCAGGTGTGTTCCCGAATGGGAAGTCCACGGTGTGCTTACTAGTTGCCACTTCTCACCATATGGAGGACATTATGGCCCCACTAAAACGGTGGCCAAGATTAATGAGTCAGGCTTCTATTGGCCTACCATGTTTAAGGATGCTAAAATTTTTGTGCAGGCTTGTGACTCTTTCCAGAGGACTGACAACATCTCGTGGCGGCATGCTCAAACAGGAATTTTGGAAGTTAGAAAGTTTTGATGTTTGGGGTGTTGATTACATGGGACCGTTTCCTTCTTCAAAAGGGATCTGCTATATACTTGTCGCCGTCGACTATGTATCCAAGTGGGTTGAGGCCATTGCTACTCCTACTAATGATGCCAAGGTGGTCCACAAAGTTTTTAAGAAGACCATCTTTCCAAGATTTGGCGTGCCTAGAGCTATAATCAGTGACGGAGGATCTCACTTTTATGAGCGGAAGTTAGACACCCTCCTCAAAAAGTATGGTGTCTACCATAGGACAGGTTTAGCCTACCATCCCCAAACTAGTGGCCAAGTTGAAGTTTCCAACCGTGAGATCAAGGCAATTCTAGAGAAGGTGGTGATGAGTGTCATTTATGGCACTCATAGGGTAGTCTTTTAGGGTTATTTCTTTCCCCTTTTCATGCTTTCTTCTCTTATTTTTGGTCCATTTTCCTTTACTTTCTCTTTTTCCTCTTTTCTTTATGATTCTCGTGTTTTTATCGTGTTTTCCTTTATTTGTCTCTTTTTTCCTTTTATTTCCTTTCTTTGTGTACTTGTGTAGGTATTGTGAGAATTTGGGACTTTAATGATCAAGCAAGGAAGAAGCATTTGGCTAGAGAGGGCTTAGAGAGGGCTTGGAGAGGCCTCGGAGAGGTTTCCAAGGCACATCCAGCAGGCCGCGGGCGCGGGCCCATGTTACTCAAAATTTCCAAAACTTGGCAGGAACTTGCCGCGGTTGCCCCGCGGGCTCTCCGTGGGCGCGGGTAAAATGGAGAGGTCGCTCCATTCAGAGAGACCGCGGCCCCCTGATCAGGCTTTGGGAGCAGGGGAGAAGCCGCGGGCGTGGGTTTCACTGCCGCGGGCGAGGATCTCGGTTGCCGCGGGCGCGGGGTCGGCCCAGATAGCCCGCGGAGGGTTCCGTACCATTTTTCCACGGGCGCGGGTCTATCGAGAGAGGGCGCGGGAGCTGCCAATTTCTTCTTTGCTTATAAATATAATTGTATTTCCTTTTTGAAGGGGACTTTTGATAATTTTCATTAGCTTAGTTTTAGAGAGAGAATCTAGAGAAAAGTTAGAGAGAAGTTCTTGGTTTTGGATTTGTAACTCAACATTTGATCAATCAAGTTTGGATTCCTTCATTTTCAATCATCAATATTAGTGAGAATCTCTTCCTTCTTTCATCTTTTACTTACTTGCTATTTGATTTTTGCTTGTTACTTGTTCTTCTTAGGATTTGAATTTGATATTGTTAATTATTTTTTTTTTTCTCTTAGATTTTGTTATAGAAATGAAGATTAAAGCACTTTCTAGTTATTTGTTCTTGAATTTCACCATGATTAGTGAGTAGATTAGTTGCTAGGGAAAGGGGGAAGCATGTTTGATTAATGAAATTGTTAGTTGATGCTCTTTGATTGATTGGTTTCTTGCAATTAAATTGGTTGACATAGTTTTGCATGTGATTGATTAGACTAGGAGTGATCAACCTATAAGATTAATCTAGATTGCATTGCAACTCTTAATGACATGAACAATCGAATTGAAAGTTGCTCTAATTGATTGGGTTTGCTTGTGATTCTTCTTGATTTGCCTTTCATAGTGACACCTAGATTGGCCTATAGGAGACAGCATTTGAACTCTCTTGATTGCTACTATTGTTTGTCCATTGCAATACTTTAATTAATTGATTGAGCTCTAAACTAGCATTATCATTGA